AACATTATTAGCTGTGGCGCCTAAATATAAGCGCTTTCTTGCATGATTCTGCTGGTGTGAATGCATTAGCCTCACTCTTCTTTAGAAAGTGGTTCGCACTTAGCAATTCGGCAAAAAATTGCTTTAATAACTATAAAGAGAAGGAAGCAGGCTTTCTTAGCTATAGAAACATAGCCTGACCTAACGCCAGTCCAAGTTTCGAAATATACAGAATGCGAATAAGTTTTCAAGTCTCTTCTGGAAGCTTTTGATAAATTTATAGGAATATGATTAAATTATATAAGGTTGTGTCGATACGGAACGTGCTTCCTCTTACGAAAAAGTAGTTTAATCTCTAATGTCAAAAAAAATAGTTTTTCGTTTTCTCATAATTTTTCTGTTTATAATTCAATGATTTGGAGTGATTTACAAACTATTCGTATTCAGTTATCACTCAAAAGGTGTATTTTTCATTAGTTGAAATCTAATCATAAAATCAAAACTGTACATAACAATACGGCTGATTTTGACATTATGAATCAAATTATTTTTGAAAAATTGTTGTTTTTGGGCTATCGACGCAACCTTATATAATTAAATCATGAACCTTTCCAGCATTTGAATCGGATTTTTTTTTGAAACCATAAAAGTATTGAAGAAAATATAGTATGGATCTTATCACCATCAGTACTATTCTCAACACTCTCATTACTGATGTAATTATACAATACAATGCTCTCTTTTAAAAATTTCTCTCACTTTTGCATAAACAACAAATGACTTGGAAGTGAATCGTTTACTTTCTCTGTAATAAAAATTATTACAGTAGCTCAGAGGTCGGTGTAAATGACTTGAATTATTTGTACAAAGAAATTATCTTGCTTAAAAAGCTGTACGAAATTATATTTTTACAGGTTTTTTCACTGAGTTTCTCTTAACATACAAGTACATTTGTAATACTAACAATCAATATTCCTTTAAGAACTATATCTTTTAGAATATTTTTAATAAAGTTGATAGTAAAATACAAAACGTAAAAAAAGATAGGAAATGTCATTCATTTCATTCCCGGCCGTAGAAATATTATTTTGCACAACTCACTTGAGCATAAAATTGCATGTGTCCACTTGTGAATGAAAATTTCTACTTTTAATTTGAATGAGTTTAATTGAATAATTACAGTTATGTTCAACCAGCAATTAATCACTGTCGTTTGATGTACAATACGTACGTACATTACTTCTTTCGGGGTATGTACATATGTGTCTATAAACGTGCGCAAAAGAAATATGCACATGAAGATTGACAACAGTTTCCTCCAGGAAGTCCATTTATGCATACAAGCAATTTGAGAGATTTTCTATTTCTGGTAAATAAATATTGTAATTAATCAATGTCTAACGAATATACATGTTAGCTGTGAGGGAAAAATAAGAGAATTCGGCACAAATAAAGAAAACTGCATGGAATATATATTAATTGAAATTGCTGAGCAATTTTGTTTACTCAAGCTTAGTTAGCTGCAAATAGATATTGCAAATGAGGTGGTGTATTCTTCGGGACAAAAAAATAGCTTTGAGTGTATAATTTTAGTAAAAAAATATATAAAGTGACGTGTGCTCTTTTCGTTACCAGGCATTTTCGGAGTATGTTATTAATTGATAAAAATTTTTTTTTGGATTTGTAAGAAAAAAATGTTTTTTCTTTAACTGTGTAACTTCTTAAAGTCAGTCGCAGAAAAAATATTTTAAATACTTTAGTTACTCAACTACTTTGTTGGTAACTAGTTCAAAGGTAGTGGAACTTTCGAATGGTTTAAAACCAAAGCAAAGTTTGAAGTTTGCCAGCTGCTTGTTTAAGTCAAAACGCATAGGCAAAATAGAAAACCCGCTATAAAGTCAAGAGGTTTCACAAAATTTTTAGTCGAAAAACTTATATATGGTTTGCCCCCACTTTGAATAAATTTATTTCACTAAGGTTGATAAAATAAATTCAATATTCCAGTAAATATAATATAAAATATATTCCAGAAATATTTTTATGAAAAGAGCTGCCACTTGCTTGTATTCCGTTATTATCAATGACTGAAGGGGTGAAGTTTAACAATATGGATATAAAGCTAAAAAATTCTATTCGAGCAAATGCAAGAAATTCGAGAAATTTTTTATGCAGTTTGAAATATTTGTAGTGACATCTGGAGTTTATACCTCCTGATTCGATTATCACAAACCAACCATATTATTTATTTAATGTGTAAAGAATTTTATTTTGAAATATTCAAAATTTATCCCGCTCTTTATATTTTGTATATCTGTATAATTTTTCACCAAGGGAGTTCCACTTTTTTTGTGAGTACTTTCAAAAAAACAATTTGTATAGCCATTTCTATTGAAAGAAGGGGAGTTTTTCAAAATTCAAAATTAAAATTGAAGACTAATTTTAAAATGTTAGTTCTCAACTATTTGAATGTGTAGGAATTACCTGGTAAATTTTCAACTATTTTTCGTGTGCTCTCATTTAAGATTTTAGAAATTTATACTGTTGAAAGCCAACGCAACAAGTAACTTTTGGTTCCGTTAAGAACACAGTTTGTTTTTTTGTTAAATTACGAAAAATTAGTACTTTGTTTTGTTTAATACAGGTATGTACCGTTCAGCACCTACAGCGTTCAGTTCATCAAACTCATTCCGCAACTTTGCTATATCATGATGAATCTTCATAATGGATGGTTTTATGTGTCGAGTGACTCCACATTTAACAGCCCCAACAAGTGCAAACGTATATATAGCGATTGCGTTACAATGGCGCATAAGTAGTCTAGCTTGAACGCAATTGACAGCCAGTAATGCGTCGAGTTACTTGCATTATATTCTCTTATTAGTCACCTAAACTGTACTATTATAAAAAAGAACTTAAGAGCCAGTCGTGCCATACCGCTGAGTCTCTCTCAGGAAGTCGTTACAGCCTGCTGCGTGATTAGCTGCCATAATCATCGACAACGCCGCAGAATGGATAATTTGTGTGAGCTTGAAATCAAATTTGTCACTTGTCTGTCAGTATATGCCACGCATTGAACTCGGTGACTGAATATAGAAAAAAAAATAACGAGAATAACTTAATTTTGCCAATAGAAATACACGTGCAGAAGTCAAGAAGAAGAAAAAAGTTGAATGTTATTTCTGCAGCTTATTATGTACCGCTATTATGTGGTAGAAAGAATTCCATATCTGTGTGTGGGTATGTTTTTTACTACTGTGTACTTCAGTTCAATGAAATCTTTTTTTCTCACGAGATTGCTCAAGTTCCCCTCGCTCCTGTATGCTTTCAATGCCATCGTCGCTTTATTGGTTCATTCGTTCACAGCTGTATTGTCGTTCGTCTGATAAGAATTGTACAACTAAATTATTGTATTTTTACATTAAGTCTGTATAGGATTCTTTATTGTATGCCAGCGGAAGTGTGACGTATTGGCGCATTGTGTGGCAGATGACAATTCCTGACAACACAAGTCCAGGAGCTTTTTATTGGAGATTGGACAAATATGAATGGCTTTTAGGGTGGCTCTAAAAAAAGTTAAAATGGATTTTTTAATTTTAAGTAACGACTGAAAATATTTTAGTATTCATTGGAAATATGAAATTTTGGTATCTATTAAAGATGGTCACAAAAGAAAATAATAATGTCTGACGTGTCGATTGAGTAATATAAAATTTGACCCTAATACAATATGACTTTGTTCTCCAATTGATATAAATTTTTTTTCTGCTACAATTGTATCGACTTTGTTGTCGAGGTTTCCAAAATCTACATTCTAAAATCTCTACTCACATTTAAGTGCCACCCCAATGCACACAAATACATATGAAAAAGGGAGAGAATCAGCTTCACCTACTCTAATCTATTGCAGCTTGACATACATAGGTAGTTGCAGCATATATGGTAGACAAATAGTTCAGATATGACAAATTCACTCAGCTCTCTCATACGAATTACATGAGTAGGTAGCGTTTGTGCGTAAAAATGAACAGTGGGTGGAATGCAGAGAGCAACTATATACATATTCGGAACATACATACTTTTATGTGGACATCTATACACTATATATTCTATAATTATATGAATATAAATATGTATACTTTATTTTACTGCGGTTTTATTTCAAATCACTAATAAAGACTGAATCCTGTTTCATTGAACCATAAGGACTTAGTTCTCAATAAACCCACTAGATTATACAAATGCATTAGCTTATATGTACTTTAGATTTTACGATATTCTCCACAGCCAAGAAAGGTTAATGTTTCACATAATGCTTTCTCTTCAACACATCACTCTCGACTCTCCTGTTTTTCGCAGTCGCTCAAACTCTGGTTAAAATGATCATACTTGTCAGACCACAGAAAGTCGGAAAATGATCAGATCAAGATATGAGTGACGAATACTGAAGATTATGGAGATCACTGGCTGCGCATACAAGATAGGCTGTTGCTTTTACATTTTACTAGTCCTGAGAGTCTGTTAAGTCCAATAATTATATTTTTAATTTATCCATTCGTTTTTTAGTTTATTTTGAACAACACTCAACTCAATAAAAGGAAGTTTAAAGCGTATGAAGCTCTTAAATGCCATGATCTACTTCTAGGCGGTTTTTTATACCCTGAACGGGTTATATTAAGTTTGTCATGGAGTTTATAACACCCAGAAGGAAACGGCGGAGGTCCTATAAAGCATATACACATATAAATGATCAGCGTGACAAGCTGAGTTTACTTAGTCATGCCCGTCTGTCCGTTAATATGTATATATGTGAACTAGTCCAAGTACTTGTTTTTGAGAAATCGTTCAGAAATTTTGCATACATCCGCTTCTTCCTAAGAAGCTGCTAATTTTTCGGGACCACCGATATCGGACTATTATAGCATATAGTTAACATGCAAACCGACCAAACAAACAAAATCAAGTTTTTATTTGTGAAGGGTACTTTAGTTTGTTAACATTTTTTTTTATTCGTCTTGAGGTCAAATTAATCAGAAACCAATGCGGTAAGATTGATAGCGACTAGTTAAAAAGAGAAATAATTACAAAAATTATATAGTCACGAAGCGTTATTGGAAAATTTTTATTTTGATTGCAAAAACATAAACATTATATAGTTACATACATACAACAGTATAAATCTCGCTCTCTAGATAAACATATGTACATATATCCGCTTTATCATGCAATAAACTGCAAAGTCACAATGAACACATGGAATTTTTGCACCGTCATCATATGCATACACACCTGTATTTAAGTTATTCTCTACAGATACAAGCTCCGATAAATACCACAAAAGCCAATGGCTGTATTGTTGCTGAACTACGATGAGAGCAAAGTACAAAATCAAGCGTATTAAGTGAAAGCCGCGCATAGTGAAGAGAAACAGCTGAAATGAAACGGATGAACCTGAATTAATAAAAAACATTAAAAAATTTCAAATAAATTAAAGAATTGTAATATAATATATTATTCAAATAATAAAAAGAAAATATAGGGGAACATAGTTGTTTTGCAAAATTCGTCTCGTTTACGCTCGAAAATTAAATTTTTTTCGAAATTATTTAAATGAAATTTAATTGCACTCAATTAATACAAATAAAAGTAACGATTAACTCGTGTAACGTATCCGAAGCGTAGTACACCTTCAAAATAATTATATATGCGCTTGAAATTGCTTATCAGTTCTAATAAAAACAATTGCCGCATCAAACGGCGAACACAGTGCAAAAAGCAAGTTTCTCGGCGTCACATTTGTTAAAACCGCTCCGTGTCAATTTGCTCTTTGCTAGCTCATCAACCCGATCGTTCGTCACAACAGCTGTTTTCCGTTAGTTTGTGCTCGAACGTACGCCGAAGAGTGCGCCTGTGTTTTTCACGCGAAGTGCTAGTAAACGAAAACTTGCACAAAGCAAAAGTGCGAAGAATACTATAAAGGAAGTGATTGCAAAAATACAAAAACAAAATAAACAATAAAAATGACGTTTTTATCACTTTGGATACCAGTGTATCTCTTCATTGCCGTCGCAACGCTGCTCGTTGTGTGGTTGCGCAAGGGGCTCAACTATTGGGCGGAGCGTGGTGTGGTGTACGATAAACCCTCGCTGCTCTACGGCAATATGGGCGGTGTGGGACGTACACAGACACTACGTGACCCTTTCCACAATTTCTATCAGAAATATAAACATGCTGCGCCATTTGGCGGCTTCTATTTGTCGCTGCGTAAAGCGGTCGTCCTCTTCGATCTAGATTTGATCAAGAATGTTTTGGTAAAAGATTTTGCGAATTTTATTAATCGCGGTAACTACTATAATGTGAAAGACGATCCGATTTCAGGGCATGTTTTCAACTTAGACGGCGCGAGTTGGCGGCACATGCGCGCTAAGCTCACGCCCACTTTTACATCGTCCAAAATGAAGTATATGTTCCCAACGGTCGTGGCAGTCGCGAAGGAGTTCGTTAAGGTATTGCAACAGGAGACGACAACTCTTGCAAAGTCTGATGCGTCTAGGCAAGGCATTGAAATAAGAGATCTGTTGGCGCGTTTCACCACCGATGTGATAGGTGGTTGCGCCTTCGGCCTCGAGTGCAATAGTCTGCACGAACCGAATACGGAGTTTCGTGTTATGGGCAAAAAGATTTTCTCACAACGTCGGCATGGACGTTTAGTCTTCGCTTTCGCACAGGCCTATCCGAACTTGGCGCGCAAGTTAGGAGTTAAAATGACGCCAAATGATGTTAGTACATTTTTCCGCAAAGTTGTACACGATACGGTCTCGTATCGCGAGCAGACTGGCATACAACGCAACGATTTTCTCAACCTATTGCTGGAACTAAAAAAGCAAGAGAGTGGCCTGAGTTTAGATCAAATCGCTGCACAATCGTTTGTGTTCTTTATCGCTGGTTTCGAAACGAGTTCGAGCACGATGAGTTTTGCGCTCTATGAGCTGGCGTTGCATCCGGAAATTCAAGCGAAGGCGCGCGATGAGATTGAGTCTGTGTTGGCGCGTTACGGTGGCGAAATTACATATGAGGGTGTGCGCGATATGCAATATTTGTACCAAATATTTTGCGGTAGGTGTGCATTTCATTATGTAATTATTGTTTTTTATGGTTGTTGTTGTTTTTTTGTATAGAAACACTACGTAAATACTCAATTGCTTCGATAACTATGCGTAAAACAATGAACGATTATCATGTGCCGAATACGAAGCATGTCATCGAGAAGGGTCTTATCGTTGTTATACCTATCGATGCCATTCATCGTGATCCCGAAATCTATCCCGATCCAGAACGTTTCGATCCCACACGTTTTGAACCCGAAGCCGTAGCTAAACGTCATCCCATGACTTGGCTGCCGTTTGGCGAGGGTCCACGCAATTGTATTGGCCTACGTTTTGGTAAAATGCAAGCATTGATTGGTTTGGCTTTATTACTCAAAAATTTCAAATTTACATTGGCCCCTCAGACAAAAGTGCCGCTCGAAATCAAAAAGGATAGCTTCGTGTTGAACAGCAAGGCTGGCATTCATTTGAATATAGAGCCGATCACTAACTCTTAAAGTTTTAAGCGAGTATTTTATTTTTTTAACTTTATAGAATAAATAAATTATAAATAATTAAAAATTATGTAAATTGATTTTTTCTTTCTTTCTTCTTTCTCCTGCCTTACCGATTTTACTTTGATTCGTACTTATAGTTAATGGCTTGGATCAACAAAGTTGTCGCTATTTTTTTAATGCAAAATTCCATTTCTTATAAGAAAATTGTTACAAATGAATTATTCTACCAATCGCCCACCTTTCTGGAAAAGATCCAATACCATTACGGTAAAACTGTTCACCTATCCTGGTTATCCATCCAAGAATCAACCCATTTTTCTATGTCGTCTAGTGAGTGGAATTGCTCCTAAGCCAGACCAGATGTGCCATCGAACGAAACAAATAATAATCGGACGGTGCAATAACTGATTGTTTGTCAACGTGAGGTCAAGCGTTGTCCTGCAGCAGAATCTTCAAACTTGTTTTCACTTTAAATTAAAAAAAACTATGAAAAATTTACATATACATAGTTATATAATATTTTAATATAAAAATGTATTCTTATACATATGCTTATATACATACATGCGTGAGTATATATTTATTTTTTACTGCCTCGTGCAGGTTATGTTGAATGGATTTTGCTTTATGTAATTGCTAGTTAAAAAATCATCTTCGGACATACCGCTTTTTTGTTGCATCTGCAGCAACGCCTGCTTCGATCTGTGCGAGTCGAAATCCATCCGAATTGATGACACTATTTCTTATCTATAAAAACAATAGTCCTTACTTTAGAAAATAGATCTTTAACTTCATTTAATTTCAAACAAGTTTTCACAATTAAGTTTAGAGTGGGAGCCAAATATGAAAGATGGCCGGAAATATGAGAAATGGCCAAAGAATCTACAGGATTTACCATGTCTTGCTATTACTTGTTCACGCCGTCTAAAAAATGTAATGTTACATCTATGTAACTTCTCTCTGCTATCGTATCGGTCCAAATGTCTCTAGTTAAACACACAACGTTTGCACTTTTATTGCGATTTTTATATGCTGCTTTAACAGAATCGTATTTCGAGCAAAGTAAGCTTTTAAAATATTTTGGACGCTTAACTTTATAAAGTGGGAAAATTTTCTTCATAAGTCTAAGAAAACCTTCACCTGCGTAAAATATATGTATGTATATATCGTACAGTTGTGAGCCAAACAATTACAGAACCAATTATTTTCCATTATATTCAATGTTTGTTCGATTTTATTTTTCTTAATTCTTTGTAAGTCTTGTCAATAGTATATTAGTTGTAAAGTTGTACTTCTTTTATTTTACGTATATCGTAATAAGTTACACGTATGCTTGAATATGTTTTTATATGGAAGAAAATGAGAAAGACCATCGCCAAAAAAATTGTCAAATATCAACGATAATAATAATAACCATGTTAAATAAGCTACAAACTCTATTCTGGGTTTTTTTTTAAATCACTAGTATTAACAATATTTTTTATACAAAATAAAAAAACCTAAAAAATAGTAATAAACACTAAACATATAGGGGGAAACTTGACTTTGCAGTTTTTTTTTATCCATCAGTGTAAAAACGTTGATGTCACATACCTGAAACTACATGGAAGGATTCATGTCTCGGCATAAAAAATATAAAACGTTGTTGGATATATCAGCGCGTTTAGAACCACCTTCTATATATTGAAGTTTTGATTAAATTCACAATAAGATCACAAAATGCAGAAAAAATTTGCTTTGGTGCGATTGGAGCGGGGTGCTTTGGTGGAAATACTAAACTGGTCTTTTGTGTGCTGGTTTTTGAACTATCGCTCGGGCTATGAAACAATTAAATATCATATTTAACAATAATAAAATATAACATGATCTGGGAAAACTTACATATTTTCGCTTGATGTAATTGTATTTGAAATTTCAATGCCAATGTTATAACGCTTTGCATGCTTATGCAAGTTTGAGGTATTACCGCTAAACTTTATCACATTCACATAGCATATTCACATTTACAATTAATGCATATAGCATCCTTTTTGTTAATATTTTCGAAATGTTTCTTAGAAATTGTAAGCCTATTCTGCACACATTTCTTAAAATCACTTTTTCTTATTCTTTATCGAATGTTTCTTACAAATATGACGATTGCGATGATTGCGAAATACATACTTATTTATACAAATGAGTGAAGAGAAGAACAATTATGTTGCCATACATACGTATTTTTCATAGAATTTGCTTCAAAATGAGAATAAGAGAAGAGGAGCAAACGTAACTAGTTTGGCTAGTTTTTGCTTATTTTTTGCGGATATTTCATATCCGAGTTTCATTACTTTGCTATGAGTAAATACTTGTATAAGTACAAAAAATACTCGGTTTTAGTGAAAGGACTTCAGTATTTGCTTCGAAGTACAGGTATTGGAACATCACTAACAGTGTCATGTATTTATGAAGCAAAAATTGTAATCTTTGATTAATTGGCCTTTAATATTTAGTGGGAATCAGATTTTTTCGCTGTAGAACATATAGATAGATGCGTTATGTGTTTGATATATCAGTTGTTAATTGTTCATAATTCAAAACACAGTTTTTTACAATACTAGTAATATTATAAGTATTTGTGTTGGTAATTGAAACAGAAGCTTTAGAAAATATTTTCACACTATTTTCATACAAAAACGATTTAAAGGAAATCAGTGATGGTCCTAATTACACTTGACATGCAAGAAACAACAATAATTTTATAGTTACTATTATAAGAACTAAAATAGATAATCAAAATCTTTTTTTTAAGGTTTTAAATATTTAAATAAATTACCAAATGAAATAAAAATGTATTGTAATAGTAAATAATAAATATCTAAGCAAATAAATTAGTATTCCATACGTATGAGATATGGGACTCTAGCGCTTAGTGGGTTAATATGAAGCAAAAATAGCAAAGAAAATAATCACTAAGGAAGAGCTAAGTTCGAGGATAACCACACATTTTATACTCTTGCCACCTTCAATAATCAATGCCTGGGAATTTCACTCAGGTGCTGGCAAAACTTTATATTAGAAACTGTCGCGAAAGCATTAAACATCCACTATTCGATGAAATCGTGAATAAATTACAATCAAATTTGGTATGTTCTTGATTTTTTTTCGCGTCAGCTAAAATTATAATAACAACACCTTCAAATGAGATATGCGTATGTGATATTAACTCAACCGAAGACGCTAAATTTAATATATTGAGTGGATGTGGAAAACATCAACCAGTAGATCGAAATTCATTATATTAGGGATATGATGTTTAGACCAAGTTATAGACCAATTCCATTATTCAACGCTAAACAACATAATTTTTAAGAAAACTTGTCCACTTAATATAAGATATTTTCATTTAAAAGGAAACATAGGTACTGGCGTCCACATATTCGGTACATTGAGGCTTGACCATCTTTGGTTCGATTTGGAAAATTTTTGGTTATAAGGTGGTACACTTAAAAACCCTATTCGTCCAAAGTTGTATACCGTTATTTTAATTGATTCTTGATTTGTATACTGGAAAGTGAATGAATCAGATGGGATTTAAAATTGTGTTACATGGAAAGGAGGCATGGTTGTTGTCCGATTTTGCCCATTTTCGTACTATAATATAGAAACGTCAGAAGATATATACCGAATTCGGTTGAAATTGGTCAAGAAGATCCCGAGATATGGGTTTCGTATAAATATGGTCGGTGGGGTGCCCATTGTCCAATTTTTGTATCGGCTCTCACAAAACTTATATGTACCATCTTATGTGTAAAACTTAAACTCTCTGACTTAATTATTCAATGAGTTATCACACTTTTAGTAGTTTTAATCAAAACCGATATATGGGAAGTGGGCGGGGTAATCACCCGTTTAATACATTTCACAGGTACTAAAAAGATTTGCCTTGAGTGAATTTTGTTATTATAGCGTAAGCAATTTTGGAGATAGGCATATTAAACTTATTAAAGAGCGGGGCCACGCCCAATTTTTAAAAAAGTTTAAAACTTCAGATGCCTCACCTTAATTTGGTCTCTTATACCAAATAGCAGCCTTATACCTTATTTTGGAGCTTAGTTACAGAAATTTATTCGGTGCCAAGAAACATTTGTTTCATCAAGGTATCTCAATTATTGTTTAAGTTACAGCTTGCGCAGGCGGACGGATTTCAACTCTTCTCTTTAACTTGATCATTTATATTATATATATATGGGTATATAATATCTAACTCAATAAATTGTAGGTGATACTAACAACCGTTAGGTGAACAAAACTCTTATACTCTGTAGCAATATGTTGCAAGAGTATAGTGATGTAAAACAGGGTCCATTCAGTTTTTTTGAAAAATTAGAACAACAATAAATTAGTCAACAACAAAAATAATTTGTTTGAAAACGTAATATTTATAGTCCTTAAATCAGTGTCGGGTCTAACTCATAAATAATAAATAATAGTTTAATAATCGTGGTAAGCTGGCAACTCTTCATAGCATGAGAATCATTGGTTTTGACTATAAATCACATTATGTTACAACGATGCCTATATTTTAGGGCCTACTGACACGTCTGGAGTTCGGCATCTGCATTTGTTTAGCATAAAGTGAAAAACGGGAAACCCTTCCAGAACTATATTTATATAGTTATACAATCAAATAAAAAAAGTTTTTTCTAGTTTTTCAAGTAAGTGGTTTTCAAGCAAAAAAATAAAATATACATTCATATATATTAAATAAAGATTTTAGGTTCATACAAAGCGCAGTACTAAGAATAAAATAACTGCCAATTTCCAAAACAATTGGTTGAAAATTTTTCAAACTATCGTGTACGCAAGTTCAAAAAAGTCACCCTTAAAAGGGGGTTTGAAAAAATATTTCACTTCGGAGGAGAGCCCCTCACTTTAATGTCGTGAAACAATGGTACAAATCGGAATTTTCATTTCAAAGTTTTGGTAACATATTTTTCTATAGTTTCATTAAACATTTATGAAATAAACAAATCGATTTTTTAGAACCGTCTTCTCCTTTATGTGAAAACTACTTGGAAAAGATGATAGTATCAATAAGAGCTTTCTTTAGCATCTTTAGAAATTCGATCTCCAATAAGGATTTAGCGCTTAGAAACCTACTATGTGTTACTTTATAATTGATATTTTACTTCCGAGTACTCTAAGAAATGTGTTTAAAGCATTGAAGTATATATATGCATATATATGTTTGCTTGGACCAGTTTTTCTACTGGTGTCCAATGACGTCTTCAATCTTGTGAGAAGCGTGCCATTTACAAATAGAGTCGGAGCTTTGTGATTGCTCCCTGCTTGTTAAAAGCGTGGTGACCTAGAAAGCACCCCTGCAGATGAACAATTAGTTCCACCTAGTTAAAGCTAAGAGAGTTCTAGAGCAAAGCGGTTCTTATTAGGACTATCTCAATCGAATAGCTAGCTGCTATGAAGAATATAATTTTATATAAATATGTATACCACTGTCCACTACCGATATTACATGCACGTGTCGGTAGCAACATTAAATTATGCAGAAGCCAACAAGTTTATTTCGTTTGCACAATCTTCTACTACTTAATCGGTGAGCTTATAACTGGTAAATTTCGCACGCACACAAACAATGACCAAACAGATTTTGGACTAGGCGACTGCATACGACAGCAGAGCGGAACTCATCAACACCAGCATTGTGTGCCGAACTGAGCTTCAACAGCGCTTAAGGCCCAGCATACACCCAAGCGTTGAATGCAAAGCAGGCGGGAGTAGTGTAGTTTAAGAGAGCAACCTTACAAGTGATGGCTAACGTTTTGCATGAGTTGCACTTTTGAATGCCTTCCTCCACCCAGCAGCTTACTCTCCGCACTGATGCTGATGTTGAATGCAACAATTAAACAATTCTGACACAATAGTTAAGCACACACCGAATTGCCCCCGAGCACACACTTGTGCTCCAACTTCCACGCACGCACGAACGCACGCATGTATGTGTCGTGTACTTACATACTTGTCGTGTACTTATGGATGCAGACATGTAAGATAGTGCCAAGTAAATTAAATATGACTATTCACCGAGCACAGAACATTTGTAAAGCAGATAAGTGCTGAAGCACAACTTGAATGCTGAGTGCAAGTCGACTAAAGTGCACGGGTGATACATGCAGGAGGAAGAGTAAGCGAAGTAGGAGATTACTGGGGGAGCTCATGCCTGCGTGCCACATTTGTTTTCAACCGTCAGGACGGCTTGCCGGTCCAAAAATCTCGTATACATAGTTGAAAGCAGCAAGCAAGCAGCAACGAAATGACAACAAGTTGTAATTTTCCGACATCCGAAATGCTCTAGGGATAAATTATGACATTTGTAGCATATCACACAGAAGTTGGCGGAGATAACAATGCAAGTAGTTGCCATTGATTTCTGGAATTGAGCTTAGGGTGTACGGACATAAGCATAGAGCTTTCAATTCCGGAGCTGGATTTGGGAGTAATCAGTCAGAGATGATATATGTATCTTCAGCGTATCATCAGAAAGAACTTCAAAGAGAACAGTTCTTCATTAGCATATTTGGCATGTTAGCGACCAGCGTTATTTAGTATAAATGAAAAAAAATTCAAACTGTTACAATTACCGTCGGCACTTAAATGTACACAGTAAGATCAGATTTCAATATCATGTATTTAAATTTTCTTCGATTAAAAATCAAATCATGATACAATTTGATCCACAACACGTAGGTCCGGCTTTCAGGTCATTAAAGAATCGGTCCAGGTCATAAGAAATCCGCCTTTCCGTAATGGTTCAAAGTGAGTAAGGCCTCGTGATAATTTCTAAACTTGCCAGACTGATAACTAATTAAGTCAATTAATAAAAGTTCAATTACACCAGCTTTAGGATACAAAATCGGTTACTTTCGTTAATTTTTTCGATTTTTTATTCGTTTGTATTTTTGCTAGTTTTCTGTAGAGCTTTTGCTACGTTATGTGGTGCATTTTATGAGCTGAAGAAAATAATAGGTCCGGCGAAATACTTTTACCTCTCTATTGCGAATGTTAACTAACAATAGAATAGACTCCAGTCGACTGCGTCGATTAAATTTTAATTTTCTCCCGTATATCTTGATCGACAAAAGTTATCAAGCAAATGGATTGTGCTTCAGGTT